GCTGATAATGTATTCACGAACAACGAAAAGAATGTAATTGTAATAATATGTTGTTTTTTATCTTTGTGTAATGTTTATGAAGAGGGCGTACTCAATTAATATTTACTTTTTAAAATGTCACAGGAAATCTAGAGTTCATAGCATATCTTTTACTACATGTAGTTATAAGAAAAGCAAACTTTGACATCAACGCCAGAAATCATAATGTTCGAATTAATGTAAGTATAGTATACATGTATATAATAGCGCTTCCAGGACGATGTTCTCTTGACCACTGAACTCGTCTGACAACTACAGTGTTCCTTATGACCAGAAACGATATGATACTATTTATCTTGCATCTCGTGACCTGATAAAAATTCTTGGATATTTATATTGTCTTGCAAAGGAGTAAACAGAGTTACAGGCGGCATATCAATGAAAGGATGTAGATACACATTCGAATATACTAAGTCTTATTCAATTAATTTACTTTTTTATTTTTGCTTAGCGATTTTTCTATACATCATAAAAGCGTGTCTGGAATAATGCTCAGAAACTTCAATAATAAGTTATGGCCCTACAATTATTTTAATTTCTAAAATTTGTCTGGACTACTCCCTTGTTACCACTTAGGCAATTTCAATTAAACTTTACAGGATTGTGGTTTCGTCGTTTCGTGGCCCTGAGCCATTATTTATTTTGCTGACCAATTTTTACATTGCACCGTTGTCGTAGTTTAACCTGTTGTTTCTTTCAAAATGTTTCTATCTAGTTTATACATTTAATTTCTTTTAGATCGATTGTGTAGTAAGCTAAAAGCTTTTGGACGAACTCTCGACCAACTAGTACTGAGCAATGAGTGTTTAGATTCTCGCACATGGAAACAACGGTCCGCCCCTGACGGGTTTTGCGCCCATCCGACTAGCGAGATATAGATTACTAGTAGGCGTGTTAACCACTCGCCATACTAATTCTCAAACTAAGTATTATAACGCGATGACATGGTTATAAAGATATTTTTTTTTTATTTGGAAGATATGATTTCATATTTATTTTTAAAAGATGTCAGGGAATAAGTAGAATGGATAAGAAATTATATTCTTTCAAAATCGTCTCACCATTGCAACAAAAAAGTCTATTTACCATAATTCAGTATAACAATGTCATCATGAAATGAAGATCGAAAATGGGAGCAAACCTAAACAATAAAAACGGCAATAGATATTTCGCCTTTTTAATTTTGGAAGGATTCTGTACATTTATCCTTGGATTGTCTGAATATACAACAGAAAAGGAAAGAAGTGTTTAAATATATCAATAGCAAGAACTATGTATTAACAAACATATTGCTCTTATGTGATTCGTGATATTAAATTAAACCACTACATACTTTCATTGGCAAAATATCAAATATACAAATGTTAATACAATCAATGCTGGCAAAGTTTTAAGAGCACGTATTAATCAAACAAAAGCGCTGAAATAACATCAAGGAGACATCCAAAACAACCTTGCAACCATTTCAACCTGGATAATGACTAATTTTCAATGGTGCAAACACTCCGATTCCCAACCATTCAACCATTTTTAACCTTTCACTTTCATACAGTAACAAGGAGGTAACCATTTTGTGTATAATTATAACCCATGCTAAAATCATTGTTAAGAAGTGTGTATTGTAAAGATAGTAAGGGTAATGATAAACAAGATCAGCACGGAAAGGCGGCGTTCAATGATAACCTGAAATATACTAATCGTAGGGTTAGACTCGAAAAAAGAATTATTTAAAGAACTTCATAAAAAACCATTCCTTTTGTTAATAAATTTTATACCATGTATATGACAAGTTAGGGCTGCTAACTTCACAACAAGAAGAACCGCAATGCGACAAAAGCCAGGTTTTCAATCCCTAAGTATGTATAGATGTGACAGGAATGAGGAATGAAATATGGTAAAGAAGAATAATGATGCTGTTATTCATACCAACACAGAACGTTGGTTTCAGTAGTTCAATATAACATAATACCAGATACCTGAGTATTTCCATGTAAGCTACACACATGCCAAGTTAAGTAACAATAGGTCAAAACGTACTGAAGTTATTGATTGAAAGCATAAAATGTCATTGTCAGCAAGTGATTTAAGTAGCATAAACTATACATGTATTAAATAATGCCCATGGGGCGCCCTTGGTCGACTGGTTATTTCTTTGTCTTCAGCGCTTAGGGTTCAAACGGAGGGTCTTCATCCACCAGTAAGCTTGAACGTCGCCATATGACCAATACTGTGTCGGTGTGACGCAAAACCAAAACAAACAATCAATGCACAAAGGCTGACATTTCATACTGTCATAGTTTCGTATTTACAAATAAACGTCAGTATCGGGGTCAAATTGTTACCTTAAACTGTTACATAAAAATGGTATTTTGTTCATCATTTTTGTACTACTCTTCAGCAAACTCTCTCTCTGTTTGTTCCGTTTCTTCAAAAAATATCAATACTTCGGGCTTCTTTACTTCGTCAAGACAAACATTATAGAAATGTCCTGAATAACTTTTGATGTTAGTTTGTCTACAGTATTCAAGCTAATGTCTTAACCAATCTCTTCAAGCGCTTTCATTTTCCGATCAAAATGTTATCACTTGATTTTCAACATGTAACTGTAAATTATCTCATGCATATCGCTAAAAGTCGATCTTAAATTTAATTTCGACATTCATATTCAATCTGACTACGATACCGATAAAGCTGAGATAATTAAATAAGACCCGCCAATGATTATCGACAACTTTTATTTCTGACAGAAGACGTGTGGCCATGTCGGGAAACAGATGTTGTCAAAATATCTTGATATATTCCATCCAATTTGTTTAAACATGCAAAATGAAAATATTGAACGACTAAATTCTTTTTTATGGACAACCCTTTTTAAACTTCCTACTTCAAACTTTAGTTTACTTCAGTTTGATATATTTGGTATACTTAAAACAAGAATGCTGCGTTGACTATATTTATTTCGCATAAAATATAAGCAGATCTAAAAAGAAACAAGTTAGTTACAAAACAAAATATCTAATATATCACCTAGGAAAATACAAACAATCTAATGGACACAATTAAAGACTGCATGGACAGCTTGTGAGATTGAACTTCTTTCCATACGTGTAAGAAAAACTGTTACTAAGTATATATATAAAATGCAATAAAATAAAGAAAATACATAACAAATAAATATTTACATGTTAAATGTTTAAAATTACAAGCATTTTGCAAATTATTCATATTGTGACAGAGTGAGAAAATTGTGAAACCTGTGGGGGACTCGAACCCGGGACCCTCAAAATACCTATCCGCGGGTCTACCGTCAGAGCATTTTGGCCGCTTACAGATTGTCTTCCCTATATAGTAACAGTGCTAAAACATGACAATATTAAAGATACTGTAACCCATTCTTTATCGTTTTATATCATAAATATGATGCTCAAATGAGGATTTATCAATGTTTACGTTCCAAAAAGATATTACGTATTTTATGTTTCATGTAAATAAAGGAAGGTAATTAAAAACTTATTTTCTATGAAGACTAAGCCAAATCTTTCAATAAAAATGAATGCGTATATTTTAATGATTACATAATGCGTTTAAACATTTGCAGTACATATTTAACATATTCTTGGATGTTTGGAAATGTTTTAGAAGCATGATTATAAACATATATAAATTTTCACGTATGTAATGTTACCACTTTACTTATGATATACAGTATCTTTAATGTAAAAATCTTTGTTCTAAGAAATATGGCTTAGTGTTTGAACATTTTTCAAAAACAGATATTTCAAGCAACCTGACATGACCATGGTTTTATATACTTTTTACCTCTAAATGAGGAGGCGATTGTGCAAAAATGACAATTTCATATTGATCGTCGCTTGTTCAGTGTAAGTAATAGTTCGAACATATAATCTGATTGACTTATAAGAGCCAAAGGCGACTTTATGAATAAATCTGCGGATTTATTTTAATTATGCTGAGGCCGGTGCTAGTGGGCGTAGAGGTACTTGCATTTTCCAGTACCTCCATGAACAGGCTCAACCAAACCGAGCCTGCAACATTAACAAATTAGTCGTTTTGGGCGTTCTTTAAGGATTACGTCTCTTTTTTATTATTATAATTATAATTAGAGCATACACATAATTTGCAACACAGAAAATGTAAGCATACAGAATATAATAATATTTTGAGGCAAAATAAAGCAATCTTAGAAAATGTACATGTAGTTCTTTTCCCATGCTTAAGTAAACAGCGCATATTGCATTTGGAACAAAAAGATACCCGCCATTTTCCCCCATTCCTGTCATCAAGGTAGCAATAACAAAAGCCATACACGCTGCATTCGACGTTTATATCTCACAAGATTTGTGGCACTTAACACTTAGATAAATCAGATTCGTTATTATAAATAAAATGCCAGAATATATTACCCGTATCTTAACAGAAATCGAATATTCTTTAGATACAAATCAAAATAATACTGGTTTAAAATAAAGACAAACTTAACTAATAATAATAATATCGGCTGGGAAATATGATATAAAGCTTTTCCGCTGGCTTAGAATTATATGAATACTGGCTCATACATTTTTATAAAAAAATAGAAAAAAAAACAAGAAAGGGAGTCATCGTTGTGAGGTAATAAAGTATAATACATTTCATAGGGATATATCTTAATCAAATATCAGCGTCTTTCAATATCTAATCAATAATATACACGTATTTCTTAAAATATCTTAATAAAGTTTGCAATATCAATAACGTGAAGGAAAGAATACCATTATAATACATTTTGTAATATCTCAATAATCATTTAGCATATGGTAAACACATATTCAGTTTTGTAATATTAGACACACATGAAAATGATATCTAGCAAAGCACTCTTTGGAAAATAACTATACTTCTAATTTAATATATTACCACTATGCGCACTTCGTTATACCTGTGACTGAATGTCATATCTATTTACACAAAAACAGGTATAATAAATTGGTTGCTGCATACTTAACTCATGGTATTGTTATATCCATATCACCATTTCAATGAGATCAAATATGATCATAATGCCTAGACAGCACCGTTTGAAAAAGATATATTCTGATTAAATATTGTTCAAACTAATTTTTACACCCTGGTACAAAACAAGTATTGACACAAACACGTGCAAACTATATTGTATGGTCAGTTGTTTAAGAAAAATCACAACACATGTTAGAAATGAATTATTATATCGTCATACTCCTTTGCAGAACTTTAGAGGTTTTGGTAAACATCTGTTCGCTTAATGTGATCCAGAATTAGATCATTACAATACTTGTACTGTTCCTGCAATGAATAGAAACTGTGATTACAAACTGTAAAAAAATATATATTGAGACATGTACTACAAAACATCTTTAACAAAGAATATTTGCATTATCTATTATATTTTCTGCCAAAACAAATGAATCTTTTCTAATGTAATATAACTCTGATAAATTTATTCTAAATTCTTAGTATAAAGTTGAAATAATCACTTGTTAAATGACATCTCTACTCACAATTTATTCAAATACCTATTGATAAATCGCGTACATATTCCATAATTTCATAAATTACAATAAGTGAACCAAGCAATACTCTTACATAGTTGTTTATGAGAAGCCTCTGTCGTATCTTCATCATTTTAACAGACTCTACAATGTTGACATGGCCTCCTTCATATTTCATCCTTTGAAGCTCGTTCAGAAGAACACATACTATACCAGACCTCGTACAACCATCACTGAATTATAAAGTTAATTTAAAACAAATCGTATTCAATAAATTAAACCTATAAATATTGATAATATTACACCTACATGGATTTATGATCAACTCAACGCATAAACACGAACGACGGTGACCCTTTTATACGCATAAGAGGGATAAAATAAGCCCGTATTCTAGTATTTGCAGATTTTTAATACACACATGCCAAGTTAAGTAACACTAGGTCAATATAGGTAACGGAAATAGCATTCATAATACGCAAAAAAATATAGATATTTTAACTATGCATGATACGTTTTTTTCCGAATATACCTAACACGACTCTAAAGGTACAGGAAATAAAACAGTAAGCACAAGTACATACCAAAAGGGAAGAATGTTTAAAGAAAAGAGCGTAAAGATCGAACCGGATTTTATTGGTGCACAGCACATATACTGAATTGTGATTAAAGCGTTTAATCTCAATGTATATATATAAGGCCAATGAATCATTAACATCATCCGGTTTGTTTAATTATTTATTTGCTAGTTTAAATGCTTTGTCATTTAAACGTAACATTTTACTTAAGCAGGATGTCTGACATTGTGAATCTGGGAGTGTAGCAATGAGACAAGTATCAAGAAAAAAGTGACAACAGAGAGATATAGAGCATGCACATAATAACAACCTCAGTGCTTTACAAATGACATGGATTGTGAGTATGACACATGTTTCTTAAAATTTAATGAAACAATAGTTTAGCTAAAATATAATCAATATAATTAATACTAGTAACTTATTTTACTAGAAAGTGCTGGTTCTAAAGATTAAGCATAAATATGTGACATAACCTTGTTGTTTGGGAGCTGTTCATCATATGAGGCTCTTTGTCAGAATAAGACAAATAATTGACCAAAGAACAACAACGATAAGGTTGTTTAAAAGATAGAGCAGAACTAAAACTGCTATAAGACAGATTTCCGCATGCTCTATCAATACCAAAAATGGACATAAAGCATATGTGATATTTGTTAACACAGGGTCACGAACTTTTATTTTGTTGCGGAATGAATCTATTTTTTATTCTACTCCTATGGCAACAATACTTAATACATGTAATAATACGAACGACAAGGGGTATAAAAAATACGACGATTTGAATGTATATAAAAGTTCGGTATACATGTTAACTACAATAATTGTACTGTAAAACTCTGTATGCATTATATTATTTACTCAATATAAACTATCTGTATCATCTTCGCAAATACAATAAACTCTGATTAAAGAAAATCCGTATCACGTAACCTTAAGGCTGTGATATGGAGTAACGTTGATTGTTTATATACTTACGATAAGAGTAATTATATAATAAAATCGACCTAACAAGTGCTTTGGTCTTGTATTTGCCTCAAATAGAAAGAATTTGATAGATTAGGCACTTACGTTGTACGGCCATTCTCAGAATTTACACCCCTATCAAAATTTGATAAAAAATACAGATTAGCAAAAACGCAAAACTGTTAGTCTTTTTACAAACTTAAACCATCTGTGAAGTTCTACTGAAATTATTTTCAACATCATATAAGTAGTTTTTGTAAATCGGTGGTTTGAAAAGTGTATCCATTTTACCTTTTTAAAATGCCGGAAATGTTCGTGACAAAGTACCTTTTACTTTAAAAAGGGCTGCTTATAATTACATTGATGATATCTTATTGGAATTTACTTTTAAATATCACATGATACATAGATTTCTAATTGTACAATTGATATCACGAATTACTTGCCTAATTAAGCTTATATACTTTTTTAAAAACTCATATGCAAAAAGTGCAAATCAAGATATACTGCTTAACTGTGATTACGATTTGTCTCATTATTATAAGAGCTACGACCCAGTGCAATTAGTATAGTTCTTGTCATAAATAAAAACCGTAGTATCACTGCTAGCAATTGTGTGCGATGTATATGCTTTATTATTAGGTAAATGATCACCTTGCTAAAACTTAAGTTCTATGTAAAGCTAACGAACCTTTCAACCATAAACGCAAACAAAAAAGAAGCCCACTTAATACCCCAAAGCATACATATAGACATCAGACAATGATATTTAGTATAAAACCCATTATCTTTCTTGACTTTATAGTATACTGGTTCACAATTTGTAGTAAAATAAAGCATCGAATAGTATTTAATGTAAAATGATAGTAACTAAAGACATAGCAATACAGCATATCAGTCTAAAACAATTGAAACAACAACACCTTAATTAAAAGATAAACATGTATCAAGAAGTAGAACAGTTTACCAGATCAAATACATTGCTGGTGCTAAGATTTTAATCATAAATTCACCAACTTTTTCAATTTAGATACGGTATATAAAATAACGAACCTTTCATTGTCAAAATTTAAATCAAAATTTTGATGCTAATATAGATACATTTATATTCAGATATAAAGTTCGGATATAGACATTCGAATAAAATTATATTCATCTATAGTAATCTTTTCATTTCTCAAAAATGATAATAAATTGGAATGGCATCTGTAGTAAAACAATTTATAAATGTTTTTTGAAATCTATAACAACTAATTCAATCCAATGAAAACGTATCAATATGGTAATAATACTAGATTCTACTTTTAAAACAAATAAACATATAAGCTTTTTACAAAGAGAAACATTCAGCTAGTATAAAATATTAGCTATATAACGCAAGCATATCAAATTATAGGACTGGAGTCAATTTCGCTAATGATATGTTCGTTATTCACTGAAACTGCTTTTTTGCAGCAAACAAAGAATTGACCAATTCAATGTTGTCACCTCCCAATTATTTAAATGACCTCCGCGAATATCTTGTTTCTCTTGGCTTCATAACCTTTTAGGGTGTGTCCTTGGGTTCAGCCATATCTTTTCTTCGCCTACTGGACATTGCAATATGTCACGCAAATATTAGTTTTCAAAAGGTTAATCACACTTTCACTACATTGAAGAAGCAACGATTTTTTTCATGCTTGTAATAATATATTCTTGATATTTTTTTCGAATCTTCTTGTTTTATTATTTTACTGAATTACCGCATGTTTTCAGGTTTAGATTTTAGCATAATTGTCTGCACTAAAAGTAATTCCAAAGCTACATTCGTCTAGCTTGAAAAAGACGGGGGTTTTTTAATTGAAAGGTTCGTGGCCCAAGACAACGAACCTTTTATTGAGTTAAATGTTTATTTTATCGTGTTTCCCTCATCATAATAATTTATCTTTATAGAATTGTTTTAAATTCACTTCATATTTTGAATTTATAATCACACAAATGTAATGTTTATTTGTTTTTTCATAAAACAAGCTTTTCAGGCGAGTACGAGGTTTATTTTTTACATAAATCTTTTTCAGTTGTAACGTCTTGTAAAAATCAGATATTCTTTTGATGTTCTTTTTCTGTATAAATAAGATATACTCACAAGATTTTTCTTAAATAATATTATATACATTACAGAATAAGATATATTATTTTATTCATATAAATTATCATAGGAAAGGTTCGTGACTAATGGTCACGAACCTTTCCTTGTTTGTAAACTGACATGTTATTGATAAACAACATAAAAATATAAATTCGCTTATTTCATTTGAAAACAACATCGTTTGTGATTCAGTAGGCAATAGAAAATTTTCTTGAAATCTAATAATCATGAAAAGTATCAAAATCACTTGCCAAAGGATTTTGATGGGAATTTCGATCATGTTTATAACATGCGCTGCGAATAATAAGCAACCATTATAGAAAGAATTGAAACGTTTCAACCCAAATGACTTCATAGTACATATGTTTGTTAATCGCAGCCGTTTACAAACAAGCATAGTGTATTCGGCATCGAGTAAAATATATCACCGCACGAACCTTTCATCACGAACCTTTTCTCAGCATATTTCAGATTCAATAATGGTGTTTATACAGCTACAAAATGTTTCATTTTTGGTATAATATACTAATTTTTACGCAACTTAGAACATTTCATGTGCTGGGAGTACATATTGCAGTCATAAACCCTTAAAATCAGATAACGAACCTTTCAATTTTAACCCAAACCACATCACAACATTAAATTCTACATAAATAATAAAAAAATTATGCACACTATGAACATGGTGATAATATGAAAGTATTATATTGTGATATTAATACAAAAAAGAACATGTAATGTTGTTTCAATGATAAAAACACTTCACTTGAAATATATGGTTAAAAGGATAACGAACATTTCATCCTATCCGGCGACAAACACTAACCCCTTACCATTTTTTATGAGTTATTGTTACTGAGATCTAATTTACAAATTTATAGTCGTGAATTGTTCCAAAATAATACGGCATGAAACAAAATTAAAACAATACAATTAAAGCATCTAAATACACGTTCACTTTTTATAAATTGGTCGGCGACAATCACGAACCTGTCATTTTCGTAACTTTAGGTGAATATTATTAAACAATTATTCATGATCAAATGGCGAGTTATTGTGTGTTATTTAAGGTAACATCTACCTCCTTAAACCAGCATAGATTTACAGGCAAATAACCTGCAATAATGAGGATAGACGGTAGCGACAAGTAAAAACTAAGGGTGTAAATTCTAACTGAGAACGGCCGTGTAGCATATTAATGTAAAATGGCAATGGCACAACACTAATTATATACCTGCAATGTACGAGTACAGGCTGCAACTCAGTTAAATGCGGCTGCCATTTTAACACGGCTTCTGTCATGTCAAGGAAAGAGGTTGTGTCATCTGGAGCCGGTAATCCCTCTTTCCAAGCTGTGTATTCAAATTGCTTCACTGTTGTTAAGTGATCATCCTCCTGTCCAGATCGAAACTATTTATATCAAACGTTTACGGTGTGTGAGAGCAATACTATTCTTAACAATATTATTTCTCTACTTTCATTCGACTGTTTTAGTATTGAATATTGGTCAACATCAATGTACAAAATATTACATATTATGTAATTTAATCTTGCTGTGTTGCAAGATGTCAGTAAGAACAACAGTGCTTTTACATGTACATACATTTTCAAATATTTGCCGAAAAAAGATAGACTTTGACCTTGAATGATTGTTTATAATATAAGCACAGTTCGGGTTAAGACCAACAATAATACAATCACGACGTTACAAAAGACCAGAGCAGTTTAGCATGCAATATTATATGATTAAGTTTGAAAACACTTTATCATTTTACATTTTTTGAGAGGTTCGATGAAAAAGAACTGAAAGTTGTGGAACTACATTCAGTTGGAACGTTATCTACTTACGTCATTTATTTTAATGTAGTCAGAACTAACAGCATAAGACATATCATCGTTTCTATTATAAACATCGTGCCGATACTTTACCAGAGTATCAATGTACTCGAAGGGGGAAATATTGGGAAGAAGTTTAAGATATAACTTCCCAATCTTATACCACGGCAGCGCTAACTTCCAACAAAATAAAACCGAAATAAATAACAATAACTGTTGTATGTGTGCGTTGGTATTTGTATTGGTGGTAAAAAATGTAGACATTTGTTACCTCCCTTTCACTTTCCTTGAAAGTAAATGATCTCTGTGTGTAACCCTTTCTTATTTTCTCTTCTATCTTGTTGACACTAAATCGGGATCCGCCTTTTGAACTTGAACCTAGTTCACAGCTTGACTGCGGTGTAAGAAAACGTATTATTCAATACTGTACCTAAGTGTGACACAAATATTCCTGTATGGAAATGTACCACAAAAGTATTTTAAAAATGCACCAAAAGTTTTATTTTCTATCGCTCAAATAACTGTTTATGTAAAACAAGAACTGTATCTTTTCAAAGATGTAAAAGACAGTTTTAATATTGTTGATGGCCATCGCTACAAAGAAATGCGGTTGTTTTCTTGTTCATAGTACCAATTTTTATCAAAGGTTAATCAACTCAAGTAATTACTCATTAAATAATGTTATTTTTGATATTATTGTAAAGCATCAACACTAAACCTGATAGCATGCTGACGACTGTTCTGTAAGCATTATGACTGTCTTGATGTTGATTTCGTCAACGAGAGACCAAAACTCTTCCATTGTATCTTTATCAGGTGACATTGACACAAGAAATGTACTCTTTCCCTTGTAATTCTAAAAAGAAGGAAAGGGTATTTAAATGAAAACCACAAACACGTTTAAAGGATCTTTACTTTAACTTCAACGTATACCTTATCAAACGGAAACTTATGTTCGAGTTATCATGACAAAGTTGATGGTAAAGAACGTTTACTTACAGGAATAAACATGGCACCCAACTGGTCAACAAATTTTGACCCTCCTTTCTTTATCTTTGGTTTGTATGCATCGCCTTAACAACAGAAACAAAAGTATAAATATTATTTGATGACAAAAATGCAACAAATTTATATAATTCTTAAACTAGAGGCTGATAATGTTGTTAAACTTCCTGGATAACAGTACAACATCTAATGATCTAAGTTCACTATTTTTAGTATTTGATTTAAAATGCATAATACTTGAAACATACAAACTTGTACATAATTGCCATTAAATGCTATATTTGTGAAGAAGAAAGATTAATGGTTATACTCTCTGATAATAGAGTCTCAACATTTGAATATTCAGGACTATCTGCAACGCCTGAGGCCGGGTTCTCAATACTCTTTTCAATGAGCTGAAATTAGATTTTGAACGTCATCAGTATATGTAAAATATGAAAAGAAAAATCGGGACTAGGACTATCCCAAAGAACAACAAATGCTAGAAATTAAATCAATTCGTGACAAAGTAAGCAAGACTTTAAACAATTTACAACTTACAGTTAATAGAATATTAACAAAAGCAGCAGTATGCCAACAATGAAAGACGTGAATATTGTAAACAAATGCAATAAAGTGAAAAATATTGTTTCTTAAGTAATCAAAGCATTAAAAAATAAAACAAGTCATGAATCATAACAACAATATGCAAGTTTTATCAAGATAAAAATATAAGATAAGTAGTACCTCAAATTGTATCTGTAATCGTGTCCGTGCGTCACCCTTGTCTTTGTGTATCATAAATTCCAGAACATCTCTAAACTGTTTTGTCCAAATAAAGTGGGTACCAAAATACATGGCGTCTGCAACTGCTTCATGTAGATAAATGTATTGCTCCTAAAGAAGATTTAAAAGATAATATGTTTTGTAAATTTCAAACGTGAAGATAAAAGAAATGTAAATATGTAATCTGTTGCGATACCTATCTTTTATCATTAAAGATACCATTTAATATCAATAACAATGTAATTTGCGCTTGAAATTTAAGTAGGTTATCGAGTTCATAAATGTAAATAAATTTGAACTTTATACACGTAATTTAATGTCATGCATTTAACAGTTTTGAATAAAGTTTAGAATATAGGTAGTAAAAAAATATTAAATTATTAATAAATTGATATTATATTTTTATCGTTGCTAAGATTATCATTTTAATTAATAAAGAATATGAAAACAAAGATGGCATATTCAAAAATTACAAATATGTATTTAATTCGTAATGTAGGCTTACATTTGAGTAGCATTATAAAATATTGATTTTGGTATAATATTTATGCAATATACCTTTGTCTGGACCATATTAACTCGTTGTGATCTCAGCGTCTGTACAATCTGTAACGGTCTCATGCAACCTTCCTGTCGAGCTTGATTCACCATATTGTCAAGACCTATAAATGTTCCCGTCCTGCCAACGCCGGCGCTGGAGAAATTAGTTATTCATAAACATTTGCTACAGTCATAAAGTACTTGAGGAAAAAAAAAAGATGTTCATAGCATTGAGAACAAAGTCGACATCACGACATTTAGTAACCTTTAACAATTAACATGCTCAACATATGCACTTAGTCATAGCACTTGTCTTATAATGAATAAAATTAAGTAAGATATTATTGACTTCCTTTAAAAAAACGTTTCCATTTAATTACCTGCAGTGTACGACTATTGGTCCTGCATCTGATACATTGTTCGTATCAACAACTCTCCAAAAATTGACAAGGCACCAAGTACTGTCAGGAACATCTTTATCTGGCCAGGACTTGAAATGGAATTGCCGAATTCTACGTGACACTTTTCCATTCTGAAATTACAACAGTATCCGGTGTAATTGTGGTACTTGCTTTTATTAACGAGCGTTACTAATTTTGTATACAAAAACTGTAGTATCATTACGACTTTTGTTTCATATAATTATGAAATCTTTATGTGAATATAAAGGAAGACATTATGTTACGAATCTTACTTTTCCGACCAAAAACACACGTATGTTGTAGTCAAGGAACTTTTGTGTTTCTTGTAGCTTTATAACTATTTCTCCAAAAGTACACTCAGTTTCTCCTTCCTCTTCTTTAGGCCAGTATTGCAGACACTTTGTCTATTTAACAAAGAACATTTCTATTTTAAAGACAATATATGGATATAATTAAGACAAAGATTCAAAGCAATTGAATGAAGAAGACATTGTGATGATGACTATTATAATGATGAATTGACTACAGTGTAATGGAATAAATGTAATTACGAACAAAGTATTGTGGACATAATTTAAAAACATTAATACGTATATTTATAATGTAATTTTTTTTTTAATTTCTTATTTTACAAAGTGGACCAATCTTGGTAAAAACAATTTTACCGTGCCCATTTCAATCAGATTCGTGAGCATAACTATTTTATCTGACTTAAGTTGCCAAACCATCTCCCAGAAATCGTCTACCATATTCTTGGTGGGACCTGGTTTAAAAACACTAAAATAGTATATCAAGGACACTAATAAGCTTTTTTTCTTTTAATGTACTTGAATTTCAATATTATTACGTTTTTTATCTCAGACATAAAATATTTCACTTATACAACTACGAATATACAGGAAATCACAGATACTGTTCACTAATGCAAAATGCGAAATATCAGCATGAATTTAAGAAAAAACATTGATATTCCGATTAAATGAAAATGGATAAAATGCTAACATTTTCTTTAAAATAAAAATAAAAATAAATAAAAAAACATAACTACCTTGTGACGCTACAAACTTTTTAACTTTCTCATAACCCTGCAATTAAGAATAATGTTTCATACAAACATATATCCTTCGATACAAATCTTTAAAATATTGGAACGATATATCTTGTGCAAAACCCTTTCCGGTAATTTTGCTTATATCATTATGCTAAATGTATATATATTAAAAGTGAAAACCAGCCTCAGGATCAATATCAAGAAAGGCTAGACAAGGTCCTCATTTATCTGTAATTACTCGCACTATGATTTTAACTGGCATTGCGTTTAATTCAGTTAGTATTTTGATTTATTTTACTTTGTAACATTCATATAAAAAGTTATACAATTTAAATAACATTAGTTAGAAACAAGTTGTATTGTAAACATATGCACACCCGCGCGCGCGCACGCACGCACATAAAAAAAGAAATAAACAGAAACAATCTTATCAGTGAATGCTTTACTGCTTGTGTTGACGAGATTTTAATAATGAAATACTTTAACGTCTTTGTTGTTTTTCACATCTTCCTTTTACTTTCGTACAGACATTAACAGATAATCAATATGCTTATATATTTCGCGTGGGAGAAGGCGGGGAGGTTGCTATGTTAGATTTCCTAATATACATATAAAATGTATAATATACACATTTCTTTCCTCTGAGTTGAAACGCAGAAAGAATAAAAAATAACAGCGCATCTTGTTCGCATGATGATAAACTTCTTACAGTCTTCCTGCACCGACACTTCGTAAATTGTCTAAAGTAGGGTTTTTGTTATTTGTTAAGTATACATTATCCGTAAATAAATTCATTTAGGCTTTTTAAGTAAAAGTAGTCAAATACTTACATCTATGTAACAGGCATTGATATAATCTGTAGGTTTATCTTCAACTGAGTTACTTTCACGATCCAGAATGACTCGAGTATGGTCATCTAAAAATCATGTATATTAAGGATAAAGGCAGAACAAACGACGTCAATCTTATTTTGATAAAAAAAAATATAAAAATAAACACACAAGAAAAAACACCCTACCTGTGCTGACTCGGTAAGATAGAGCTTCATTGTAACAATATTAAAACGACGTAATTGTTCAAGCCTAACTTTCATATACATACACGTGCATTTTAAATTGAATTATCTAAATTAGTTTTTTTTCTTGAGCCTTAAATTTTTTAGATAGATATTTTCATAGAGAATAATATTATGAAGGCGTATAACTTACAAGCATACATTTCTTTGTATCGGTTTTTGCCTCGGTTGGAAATATGGTCGGCAGATGCAAATGCATGAACAAGGCCTTGTGGTAAAGCCTGTAATATAAATACAGTTTATTATTATGATTACAAGTCAATATACTACAGACATAGAGGTTATACTGTATTGCAAAATTCTTCAGTATTTTACAAGGTTAAAAAATGTTTATAAATATATTGAACATTGTATCAAGACTTATGCTTGCATTTAAATAATTTGTACAAAATCAAAGATCTTCTTGAAATTAAGGAAAAATATCAAAAGTTAACACAAAATTGTAGTTGTTTTTTGTTGTTTAAACCAATTATATTATAAACATTGTTTTGTTCATATGACTGTTCTACATAATAAATTTGGTATATGTTTTTTCTTAATGTAAAACATTCAAAAGTTAGATCAAAATTTGAGATGATAGCTTGAGTAAGTAATAAGATATTATAGTTGTCGTACGGCAAGACAATTGCTCCTTTCAAATGAATTGGTCATTCTAACATGTAAGCTGATATTTAACATACCTTGAACTCTGATATCAGCTGTTCACAATTGTTTTCCATTTTTGCGTGTATGTAGTCCCATAACTCATGAACCCTTATTCCCATAAACTGTTCACTAAAACTATAGTATTCACTAGCATCTGTCGCAGGCATACTTGTATGTTGCTCATCTGAAATTTATCGGAAGAAAATACAAATTTTTAAAATAACAATAATTTCTCTTGCATATAAGATGACATTTGACCTTAGAATAAGTAAGTAAAAGCAATACCTTCATATGATCTGTTGACATGTGCGTGTTGGCGGGTTCTTCGTTGAACTTTAGTTTTCTCCTCAAGGGCTTTATCAAGGTGCGAAAATTGGGTTTCTTTTGTCGAATTCTTCTTTGCTCTAAAATGGCATTTACATTGAACATAATAATGTAGATCGTGTGTCTATCGTTCAATTACGATCGACGCTGATGTCTTTATCTTTTCCTGATTCTTTTCTATTCTAGTGATCAGATGAGGTACTTAACGGTATAAATTTCTGCATTATACCAACTTAAACTGTGTGATTTCCTTTAAACTTATTTAACCAAAGACATAACATTACTTTGCAAAATGATTAAATATCAATAATACACAAAAAGAACAGAAATAACAGTGCATTTATAAACAAGTAATTTTTTCAAACCTTTTACAAAAGATGCATAACATAAATGAGAATGGGTGGAATTTTTGGATACAAAAATGACGGTTCGGATATCAGAATACTCACAAACGCATTCTTCTAAACAAAAGGAGTCCTATAACTACACATAGAAGGACCACGACGCCTGCCGCTGCTGCTCCACCTGCTACGGCCGCTGATGAGTCATTTGATTGGTTGGCGTTTTTCGGGGCGCTTTCCAAAGATGCTGTTTTTATGCATAATAGTTAAACTAAATATCTAAGTACGATTTTAATATACTGGTAAAAAATCAATTAGCAAAAATTAAGTAAATCAAAAATATCAATTTTATGACTAAATCGAAAGTTGTATAAAAATTATTATTTCTTTTAAAATGATCACATGAAAGACAGTGTGTGCTGTAACTGAAAAGAAGTATTAATTGCTACTTTCTTTCTAACACATAAGCTTCAAATTACTATGAAAATGCCTTATCCTGTCTAAAATTAATATAATATGACTACAACTGTCTTTGATTAACGGACTGTGAAATACTTAGGTATACTGATAATGTTATTATTACACATGAAACATTACAGATCGGATTTTGTTGGATGAACACTTTGCAGTAACTTCTCAAAATCGTCTAAATAGCTACATAAATAATACTTTATACATGCAGATAGCAGACAATTTCTAAATTTGATATTAGATAGTAAAGAGGTTTATATGCATGTAACTATAAGAATATGCAGGCTAGTATCTGAGCAACTACATGTTGATTTACACCTGGTATTAATTACGTACATTTATTCAATTATTAAAGTGAAATAAGATATATTCCTTAAGCCACTGGACACTCAACACATTTGCATGGAAATTTGGTCAATACATAATAGCTGTATGAGCAAAAGTGTATCAAGCTATTTTTAACACTTCTACCAACCATAGTCACATGATCCGGGTTTGTACTGTTGCAAAACAATGTACGATGGTCACATGCTATGACATGGGATTAGTACAATATAGAATTATGACTTTAATTTACAGGACGTAAAATTGCGCAGATAATCATGTCGGAACAGCTTGTTTTGAATCACCTTATAAGATACTTTGCAATCATGTTTGTATCAAAATCTGTGTACTACATATATGTCTAAGCATTAGTTTCATTTTACTGTTGGACATTGACAAGAACAAAACAACACTGAAAAAAATCTAATCTCTTTTTAAAAATCCAATGATATTGTGAGGGAGACAAAGGTTTAGAAAACGAAAGTAACGAATACTGAATTGAAGAAGATATACACGTAAACAAATTAAGCAAATAGATATCGTGCAAATGTCATGATATTGTTAATGCCTTTGTGCTTGACCTCTCGAAAAAAGGTTTCCATCATAGTACCAAAAGGATGGCAAACATTTTGAATCTCAAACTGACCGTGTACATTCTGTTTCTATGGACCTTTTAAATAAAATATACATTTTTTGCGTCACATGAAAAATAAGCACGACATAAAAGGCCTCTCCGCCACCATAAGCAGTGCTCGGTACGCTGGAGTAATATATAATAATAATAATATTAGATATTTTCAGATAGCATTTGCCTTCAGGATTAAAGATCCTGTATGTTTTTGTGATTGATATTGTTACTGTGTGTATCACACACTTGCAAAATATTATATAAGTATATAATTATGCAAATAAAACAATTTTTCAAACATCCAAGAATATGTAAAATGTGTACTGCAAATATTTGTGCACATTATATTTAATCAATAAGTTACATGCATTCATTTCTTATTGGAAAATTTGACTTGGAATTTATAGAAAATAAATTTCTAATTACCTCCCTTTATTTACGCAAAATGTTAAATTGGGTAATATCTTTATAGATAATGCTTATTTGAACTTACAAGATTGACAAATCTTAATTTGAGCGTCATATTTATGAAATAAAACCATGAAAAAAAATGTGTTACAGGATCTTTAACGCATCATTACTTCATTTCTGTTCATTGGACTTAAGAAAGAATATTTAAGTTGTTTATATATATGTACCGTTACTCACTAAATTGATCATTATATTGCACATGTTTTCGTCTTACGTTTAAACAAGGAAAAGCTAGTCGGATGTTTTTGCCGCTACTACTATAGTAAAGGGAAAAAAAGGCTTACCGATGAAGTTTAGACTAAAAGCACAGACATTTGGGGTTTGGAGCTCAAAACGCCTTTAAAATCCAATAAAATGCATATTTGTCAATCCCAGCACATGTACTGATCATATATATCAAAAAAATCTTAAT